GGGGATTTCAGTGGCAAGGCTGTGGGATGGGGAGACTAACCCATAGGAAGAATGTGCCTTGAGAAACTTCTTATCAAAGGTTGAGGTCTGGCTTTTCCAGATTTAACTACTAACCTCTGGAAAGTACAGTTGTTTATGCAACTCCCGTGGTGGGCCTCTGCTAGAACCTCAGGACAACTACTATTTTTCTATTACTGTTTGTTCTGCATGTTAGCTGTTTACCAAAAGAAAAACCACTATAACCTAAAATGGGAAGGAGAGCCAAGGCCCCTCAGAGATCCCTTTATTCTTGCTCTTTCCACAGTTGAGGGAAGTCACTCTTTAAGTAGTCAGAGTTTGCATGTGGTCAGGGAAACTTGAGGGCAGTAGGACAATGAGGGGCCAGGAGAATGGGTTGCTGAAAAAGATGAGAGCTGGAGGGAAAGACTGCCTGGGAACTAAGGAAGCTGTGGCGTCCTACCTGGGACTGTGAACTTACCAATACCTCTCCAACTTGGAGATATGAGAACTTCTAGCTAGATAGCCAGTAGAATTCAAATATTTTCATGCCAGGTTGCCCCAGTGAGACCCAGTCTTCACGCAGAAACCAGCATGGTTCTTTCTGACTGACTTTGTCAGGACTTAGAACCTTGAGGTAAGCTTGATGCTAAGGCTCCTGGGAACCCCACTATTCTTAAATTGCTGGGCTGAACTCAGCTAGCTGCTTGTGCAGCTCTCATTGAGAGGACAAACTAATTCAAAGCCCTCTTCCCAGCCTAGCATTGCCTGTGTGATGTGTGAATTCTATTCAAATCAGTCCTGAAGGCAGGACCTTTGCAAATCCACTCTTAGTAACTGTTGCCATGGCAAGACAAGTAAATGCCTTTCCTTGAAAAATAGTCTATAAAACCATCCAGTTTGCTTATTTTAAATGTCTTCTTCCACATTTGTCCAAAAAAAAGAAAGAAATGTTACCATTTTTGGTTTTTTTCTGCAAAGTGGATGTTAGGTCTTTGCTGGAGAGATTGTTTCTGGTGAGCCCAGCCTCTTTCATAGTTTTGGGCTGAACCTGAGTCCAGGAAACACAGCAATACCCTTAAGGCTCCATTTTCTTTCCTATAGAAGTGAGAAGCCAATTTGGCTTCTCTGCATAGAGACCTGTTCTTCATTTCCAGTTTTCTCCTCTTTGTTCTTTTCTTCTTATTGGTGTTCAGGTAAAATTACTTTCAGTTGATACATGCTTCCTCCACCATGTTTCTTAATGAACCAGCAAGTCTAAATGACTTTACAGCTGTGATGGAAACCAGTATTGGTATCTTGAGTTTTTCGTTTTAGCCAACTCTCCTCAGGAGAGAGCCTTGTAACGTTCCAAAGACTGTGGTGGTTCCCTCACTTTCACACTGTAGAAGAGATCATCATACTAAAAGGAATCATGTTCTCAAAGAGACTGTGAGGAAGACCCAATAAATACCTCAAATGTTCCATTAAAGCCTTGGCTCCCAACATGGTCTGCTCCTGGCCTTCATTCCTAGACATTTGGCAATGCCTATAGTATCTTTCATTGTTTCAAATTAAGTAAACAGGTGCTACTGGCATTGAGTGGGTAGAGCCAGGGATGCTGCTATACATTCTGCAATGCACAAGACATTCTCGACAACAAGAATGATCTGACCCCAATGTCAGTAATGCCAGGGTTGGAAACCTGCCACTAAAGGAATTTTTGCTCTTTTTTTCTTTCCCTCAAGGTCAGAGGAAAAATAGAAAAGAAAAGAAAAAAAAAAAAAACAACTCTATTTTGATGAGTGTGAGAGTCCTGAGTTCATATGTCCTGCGTGGATCACGGTTGGCAAGCACAAGGGTACCATTGAGTGGGGCAGGGTCCAGGGAGGTCTTCTCAGCTCCAACAGCTGTCTCAGCTCCAAGGAGAGACAACTTTGACAAAAGCAGAGGACAAAGAAGTTATAAGGATGTTTAGTTTGTGATAAAAATCATTTTGCAGACTAAAGTGCTTCCTCCTGCCCATAAAATAGTTTTTTAATTTTAAAAATAACTCAAAAATTGGAGGCATTTAACTCTGTTGTGAGCAGGGGGTAAGATTACTGCTCATGGCTCATGACCGTGCTCAATTAATTCTATCTTTTTATTTTTGCCATACTGGGGCTTGAACTCAGGGCCTTCACCTTCAGCCACTCCACCAGCCCTATTTTTGTGAAGGGTTTTTTTTTCAGGATAGGGTCTCGTGAACTATTTGCCTGGGCTGACTTTGAACCGCGATCCTCTTGGTCGCTACCTTCTGAGTAGTGAGGATTACAGGCATGAGCCACCAGCACCCAGCAATTAATTCTGTCCTTGTAATCAAGTCTGCCCAAGCTGTAGGTGGTGGAACTCTTCTTATTTTCTCCAGCATGGTTCCAAATGCCTGTACTCTCAGCCTGAAGCAATTTGCGGGGGTTGTTTACTGGAACCAGGTTCTCGCTCCATAACTCTTTGTGTCCATCCTCCCTCATTCTCTTGTTGGTGGCAAGATAGCTATGCAACTGCTAGAGCGAGTCCTTTTCCAAGATCCTCAGCAAAGGCTCAAGGTGTCTTGTTGGCTTAGATGGGACCACATGCTCTTCCCTGAACCAGTGCTTTGGTAGGGGAATGCTAGGAGCTGATTGGCTGTACCCTAGTGCACACCATAGCCCAAAACTGGAGTGGAACTTCATGTGATTCACGTAAGCCAAACGTTGGACGGTTGTGTTGCCTCAAAAGGAAATTGATGTAAGGTACTTACACTCCACACACACACACACACACACACACACACACACACACACACACACGCATTGTTATTAATAGACTAAATTCTATAGCAAAAGAATTTCTTGCCCTACCATTGTAATTAACGAGCTACTTAACTCAAGATAACTTTATCTCTGCCTCCTCTTTCTCATCTACAATATGGAAGTTACCATCAAGGTGGATATAAAAAATTAGTTATCCATGGATAGTGGAAGGATTGTGCACATATGCAATGTTGGTCTTGTTTCACTGGAATGAATTCAGTACAGCTTCTCCAGTCTAGAATTCAGACCAGCTACAACCCACCCAGCTAGTCCAGGCCCGCCTCCAGAAGCCAGTGTCTAAATTTATCCCAATCTTCATTGTTGCAGGTCGGTGTGGGAAATCTTCTGAGGTCAATGATTGAGGTAATTGGCTTGAAAAAGTCTCTGTTAAATGACATAATTGGTTTTAATTACGTAATTACGGCACTTAAAGTGTGGGGGTGAAAGGTTACTATTATATTTAGAAGTGAGATCCCCAAAATGAAGCAAGGGTGGTTAAGCCAGCGTGTCTTCAATTTCTTTCTTTATTTTGTCCGAGGGAAGCCAGAGCAGGCTGGCCTTGGCCCTGGTGACTTGGGAATGATTATCCTGCATGGAGTGGTGCCGGGGCCGCTCCCAGTTTCATAGGAATCTCTGCACAGAGACGGAAAGGGCTTCCGTAAAGACCTCACTGCGATCTGAAGTTAATGAGCAGTGGGAACTCAACTGTCAGCAATTGAATCTGATTGGGCAGGGTAATTATAAGATTGCCCCTGGTGTTTGCACATGTATGGGGATATTTTTATTGGAAAAAAGCTAATTGCTTACTTACTTAGTGGAGGGAAAAACCTAAACAAATTTGTGTTGTCATAGGTTAAAAAGACATCCTTTCTTTGTCTCTAAAATAACTGCCTGCTCTGTTTCTTAGAAGTGAAGGTTTTGTTTCTTTCTTTGTTCAATCAGGATGTTGTTTGCATGACTTGCAATGTATGATAATATTAAAACATAAAGGAAAGCTACATTGGACTGTGCATTTTTGGTAAAATGACCACGTGCTTACTGCCATTTCTTAAACCATCCTTTACAATAGTTTCTTTCATACTGCCCAGGCAGCTAGAACCCTGGGCGACACTCAAGCTACTGGGACTTTCACAGGCTTTTTGTTTGCTTTGTTTTGTTTTTGTTTTTTCCCCCACGTGGAGGCCCCTGACATTATTGACCTCCTCAGCTATCTGGTTTCCCTTAATTGCACAAGGCAAGTGGGAGGTACTATGTCTGTGATAGCGTTTTAGATGTGAAAAACATGAAGGCTAAGAGGCACAAAATACTCCTCCAGCAGTTTCCCAGGGCCTTGGAGGGAAGAAAGGAACAACATGGGAGAGCCAGAGGGAGGAACCCTTGGGACTCCTCGGTTGGTGGTGCCAAACTGTAGTCTCCTGTCTTGTCTGCTGTGCAACCCTAAGTGAGGCTGGCATCTCCCTCCCCAAAAACCCTCCATTTGCTGGTGTGCAGAAAACAGATCCTTTGCAATTAGTCTGTTCTAGAGTGGTCCAATTCTACATTATTGGTTTTTTCCCTCACTTCTTCTAGAGCCAACTCTTTTCTAAATCCTTCCTGAGATCCTGCCCGAGAGGTAGAAATGCAACTAGATTGTGGGAGTGGGAGGAACACCTTGTGATGAGAGCTGTAGACTCCAAGTCTGGGTGCTCTAGATGAGTGGAGGAATATAGGCTGCAGAATGGCCGAGGGCAAAGGACTTTTGGTCCTGCAGACTAGCTCTGCCCTCCTGTCTCAGGAAGCTTGCATGTGCTGACCCCACCTCCCATCAAGTCTGTCTTACTCCCTGGGTCCTCAAGCTCAATATTAAATGCCACTGCTGGGAGGCCTTCCCTGATCACTCACCCCAATCTGAGCTGGCTACCTGTGCTTTGTACTCCATAGTACGCTCTAGGTTCCTGTACCCACTGTCCTTGTAATTGCTTGTCTCGTTGTCCCAACTAGTCCATAAACTCCATGAGGGCAGGGCCTGTGTTTATATTCCCCACACTCTGTCTCCATCCCTAGCCTGGCACAGTGCTTGATAAGCATGTGTAGTGAATGAGGGAGGAAAGGAATGCTTGCTGTGTGTTCCTGGGAACTGTGTGTGCTGCCTGGGTTTTCCTCCCCTTGCTGTTAATACTGCTTTCTTGTTGCTTACAATTTTCATTGCCCTAGATGATCCAGCTCTGTCGGAGGCACGTAGGCACAGCCAAAACTCATGCTGTACATTGATCACCTGTCCAACCTTTGCCTAGAGTGGGAGCCCCCAGTTCCTTCAAGAGATCCAACTTTACCTGTCTGTAAAGAAGAAGAGGAGGAGGGAGACAGCAGGGAGGATCCGGTGGCAGTTTAACACCAGAGCAGGTCCAATGTTTATTTTTACCCTTTTACCCTTTTGGAGGTGGGTAACTGCAAATGCTGTGGTGCTGGGTTTTAGAAAGACTCTGCATAATGACCTTGGGTTTGGGTCTTACATGTACTTCATTTTGTGCTAGACTGTAAGGTTGTGCCCAGTTTTCCTATTTAATTCATAGCCAGAACTGCTCCATGATTTCCACCAGCATAGAGAGGGGCCCAGGTTCATCATCCACATGGTGCAAATTGTTGCATCAGCCTTATGTTGCTTCACAGTGTTGTTTGTATCTTGCTACATGGACAGAGAGGAGGGTCATTTGTTGGTTGCTATGTAATGACCATTATATTTATTATTTGCTTGCTAAGGCCTATGATTTTCAACAATTTTCCTTGCTTTGGTTCTGTGGCTTTTTATGTTTTAAATTCCCCCTATCCTAGTCAACTCTTAGACCATGAATAACTGCTGAGTAGATGAGATTTCACTTAGAAGCAGCCCTGCCTTGTACAATCCTGGGGCATATCTAACCAGCTTCTTCTCTAAGCAGAATATGAACCTATGACCTTCTAGGCCTCCCTCAGGCAAGAGGACTCCTGTTGAGCCCCAGGTCACCAACTTGTCCTAGTGTGAGCTGCTCATCATTGATTGACCTAAAGTAGCATTTTCTGAGTAGATAGACATTTGCATGTGGAAACCCCAGCTTTTTATGAAATGAGTAAAAACCCACAGAGGTCGCTTCTTGGGTGTCAGTCTGCTGTCCCAGGTCTGAGTCTTGTGCTGGTTCTGAGTCTCATTTACTTTATATTCTTCAGTTGCATTTCTGCTTTAGCATGATATGTACCTAAGTTAGAATTTTTAGAGGTTCCTTCCAGGAAAGAGTTTGAATCCACTTTGTTGTTATAAATAGGTGTGCTCACAAGAACCATGCACTTTGAATTGAACAGCCATGGGCCATGGTGAGTTTTATTCCTGAGTTCTAAGGAAAAGTTTAATTTAACTTTCATTTTTGGAATAGCACCAAGGGATGTCTCATCATCTCATATCCTTCTGGATTCAGGCAGGTAATAACTGCCTACACAAATAAATCACATACTTTTGCAAAAAAAAATCTTTGAATGACATTTAATTTATAATTAAACTTGGCAGTGCATACTCTGAAGTGTCCCATCTTGTCTAATCGCTATGATCTATTTCCTCCCAGAGGAAAAGAAACAGATTCATATTCTGCATGACAGGGGCTAGTCCTTTTGTTATTTTATCAAATAATATGGTGAAGAGAATAATTTTAAAAAAGAAAAGGAAAAATTAGAATGAATGACTGTCATTTAGGTCACAGCCAACCCCCTGATTGTTTATATTACTTTGTTTCAAAAACATTTTCACATCTTTTAATTGATTGATTTATTCAAGAAACAGATGGAAACACAGGCTCTCTAAGTGCAATACCTAGACCAGCAACCTGCATCCTTGCATCACTTGGGAACTTCTTAGAAATATAAATTCTCAGACCTCACCCAGATTTACTGAATCAGAAACTGTGGGTGGGGCCCAGCAAGCCTCTGGTAACACTGATACATACGGTAGTCTGAGAGCCCTTGTTTCTGCCAGTGCATGATGCAGGGGTATTAAAGGGGTGTAACTAAGACCTGCCATCCAGTAGCTTGTGAGCCCATCAAGGGCATACAGCATAAATTCATCAGACAGTTAAGCAGAGCATCTTCATAAAATGTAAATTACCTCATCTACGCACTTCCCAAATTCCTCCAGGCAGTTCCCTTTGTTCTTGTAATGAATATACAGGCTTGGCTAGGGCCTGCAAGGCCTAACATGCTCTCCCTTCTCAGGTTCCTTTGGAGCGATCCCTCCCAGTGCTCTGTCACACTGTACCAGCCTCCTTTCTGATCTCCAAACACACCTTCAGAATGTGGTGTCAGCAGTATCATAGAAGAAAGTAAGAAGAGAAATAGGAACGAGAGAGTGATAAAGGTTCAGTAATAGGTTTGGTGACTGAAATCTTTTTTCACGCAGTAAAATATTTCTAAACTCTTGTTCCCCTTGGCTAAAACATTGATAGGATGATAGAATACTGTATAGGTAGATAGCTAGATGTGATGGTATATTGGTATTATTGACCTCATTTTATAGTACAATAACATCTGAAATGACTTGCCAAATCATTAAGAAATAGGAAGCATAGTTTAGTGTCATCTTAGTGTCATGTATTTGTATTGACTTCTCTCTCTGAGGTTTGACTGGGCAGGCACACATGCTCAGTCACACCAGTGGGAAGTGAACAAACATGGCTGGAGATAAAGTGTAACATTGTATTGCACCAGAATGTTGTTGAAGCCAACAAATGACTTTTGCTGTCTTCATTTAGTTTTAGGAAAGATGGCAACCATGTCTGTTAAGTTTTGTCTTTTTAAAATTCTGCTTATATACATCTTTAGGATATTAAATGTATCATATGCCTTGAGAATAAAGCAGCTGGTTGGATTTTTATGGAATGTGAAAGTATCATATCTGAAGATTTCCTTCATAATGAGAAAGAAGGAAATTTTTAAATATAATTTGTTTTTAAAAGTAAATTGAATTTGAGGCAAATGGCTTCTTTTTTTTTCATATTAGCAAATATTTATTTTGATTTTCATGTGTTCACAGCTAAAGGCAGTTTGTTTTTTTTATTATCATATTCCTTCTGGGTTCAAAAAGAAAGGCGGTGTGTGTGTGGGTGTGTGTGGGTGTGTGTGGGTGTGTGTTTCTTTTAACTATCCCCAGCTATTATTTTGTAAATATAACATCTCTGGTTCTAGACACTATTTGCTCATTAAGAAACCTCTCATTTGAGATCTTCTGCAGAAGAACGAAAGATCAGCTTAGAGGTGCCAGTAGGGAGAATGGAGCATGGCCTTGGGTGATGTGCCTCATTTAGCATCCTTGATGGTGCCACTTCATATTGCTAAGGTGAACCTAGTCTGCCCCACCCCTGGTATAGATCCACATGTGGACAGGACAGGCATGCTGTTCCTCACTTACTACCAACCCATGCCCAGAGGCTAGGCAGGTTTTATTGACTAGCTACATTTAAACACTCTGAAGTCTAAGTACAATGAGCTAAGTGAGCAGAGGAAAACTGGGAAACAGGCTTCCCTCTGGGGCTGGCAGGAAGGGACCTGAGATGGACACTGCAAACTGAAAGATGATTAGGTATTTGTTCGGTGATGATGTGAAAGGGGCAAGAGAATGTCCCCAGGGAGCTGCTATCACTTCCCATGCTAGCTAGGATTCTGCCCACACAGGCTATCGTAACAGAGAACCTTTTGGGCAACCAAACAAATGGGTGGAAATACTACTAGAGAGTGAACCTAGGGGCAGATCACTTTGTCCACTGTGGCTGATATTTCCATCTGCTAACAACAGATGCACTTGTTTAAATGTGACACCTCAGTGCACTTTGGCACTAAGTTCTAGTACTTTTCTTGTCTTCCAATTATTCTGGTGCCTGTCTCTGAAATACCTCTTTTTCAGAGTGACATCTGCTGCATCCATCTTTGAAAGCAGACCTACCTCAGGGTTCATTCACCACCCCCTGGAGGATGCTTCTAAAGTCTTCAAGGAAGGGTCTGGAGCTTCCCGGGTGTGACCAGCAGCTCTAGAAGGGAGGAACTGCCTTCCTCTTTGCCTTCTCAATCCAGAGGCCACTTTATGTGTTCCATCCATCCTCCTAGCCAGTACACAAGTTGGAGGGAAAAGTCTCTCTGTATTCCTTCTTGGTACTAGTATGCTGACTTGGCACAGATCAGGCACCCAGAAATTGTAGACAAATGAGAGAAGAGTTTCTGCAGATCCAATACCCTCATGATGATGAGGCTCAATTTCAAGAATATGAAATAAAAGAGATGCCCAATCATTCATTTATGCATCCACTCATCCAAAACCTTTTTGCTGAAGAATTCTCTCTAAGCACACAGCCCAACACAATGCCTGGCTCATGCTAAGTTCACTGTTACTGTTGGTTATTATAGGGGAGGTAGAACATGACCTGTGGCTTCTGAATCCTGTGTTCCTAACCTGAAGCCCAGCCTTCATGCTCTCTGTTGTTTAGGAGCAACAGTCCAGGGTGCCAGACTCTGCATGGGTCTGTTTCTCTTCAGAGGGGCAGAACTCTCCCATAGGTACTTGTTTCTTGAACTCGCGGCATGAGCCTGACATCTTAGAGTGCTGAAGGACAGCTCACTAGCTGTCTGCACACAGCCAAAGTGAACATGAAATGACAGGGAGCAGGTGAACTTCAGGGTGGTCCGGATAACTTGTTTAAAAAAGTAACAAATTAATGAAGACAGACATTTGAGTACCTAGGTTTCTACTTGCGGAAGAAAACCTATCCTGTTTTTGCGAAGGGGGACTCTGTTTTAGGGAAAGGATGATTTCTGGAGATGTGACGAATTTGAGCTTGGGATCCCAAACTGAACCTACAAGTCAATTCTGCCCAGGTGGCATTAAAAAAAAATTTTTTTTGACCATGCAGAGTTCCTAAAACTTGAAAATATGTAATTGTGGCTTTCTGAATTGTTGGGGAAAATCAGATGATTTAGACATACTGAGCCATATTCCCACAAGATTCTTCAAGCAGTCCCCTTCACTCCAGCTGTCCCTCTCTTAGTTTACTGGTCGTTTATGTTGGACTTTATTCAAACCTGGCATGCTGCCCTCAGCCCGGCTCCCTCTCTGGTCACCATCAGCAGAGTATATGATCAGATTTAGATCTACAGTAGAGGGTCTTGTGCCCACATTTGCCTCTGCAGCTTCCTGCCCAGATGCCACATGGCAGAGCCCATAGGGAGCATGTCAGCAGCTCACCCCCTAGGCTGTTCATGAACACCCAGGCCCTGCCTTAGTGGTTCTGGGTGAGGCTCTAAGGGTGTATCCCCATGGACAAGCTGGGAGGCCTATGTTGTGGCTTGTGTACAGACCACCCACCCTCTGGACCTAGGGTCCTACACTCATCAGC